ACTACACTGGCGTGACCTTTGTCAGCCGGGAGAACCATAATAGTGTCATCCTCCTTCAAGCTTTTGAGGGCTTGTTTCATGCCTTTAGTTATTTTATGTTAGGCTTAGGTGGCTGTGCCGTTTGGAGAAGATTATTAGCAGTTCTCCTGACAGAATAAGTTTGTTCTGTGTCAAGTGGTCTTATAGCAGACCCGACTTTGGCAACTATCTCAATTCACACAGGTCCAACCCCTCCCCTCACCCACTTTGACGCGTGTATCCAGAATTTTTTCCAAGTTTCAACTTTGTATAGGGTGGAGGGAGGAAAACCTGCAAGAATATTTCGAAAAGGATGCCCTGTTTTATGAGGGAACCGAGAAATGACAGAAAAATATGACTATTGCATTGTTTTAGTAACATATTGATCTCATGATAATAGTAATACGTCGAAAGCGGATTGCATAAACAAACAGAAAGAGTGAAAGAGTATGTTTTTTTACCCAATTCTCTCTCGACTGACTTTTTTTTTGTAACAAAAATTAACCTTCAAAAACTAAAAAAAAAAACAACATTATTTGTAATACTCCTGACAATCTCAAACTTCATTTATGATAATATTCCATTTAACAACTGAAGGCCGTGCAAGAACGATTTATGAATAGGTACCATTGGTACGATTGGAAAAGAAGTGAGTCTATTGGTCAGTTAAAGAAGTCAACGTAGAGTGCATTCTAAAGTTCTGTTTTTCACATTCAAGGCAATTCATGGCATCGTTCTCCTGTACATTGGGGAGCTGGTCTCCCTTAAAGAACAAGGTGTTTATACAATCTTAGATCTGCTCGTGGAACACTGTTGACCGCGCCCTCTGGTAAGACTAGGGTAACTCCTGGCTTGAGCTTTGGTTCGATCCCAGGGATTAAGCCCGTGACCACCCGCTATGCAGGCTAGCCATCTCTTCACTGAGCTAACCATACCGCAGCCGTTTACTTCGTTTAGGTACATGAATCAAGATATTCAGTTACAAGACGCTTTGAATTATAATTACTCACGTACTCTCTTTATCTACTGAGCGACAAAATAAGTCAAACTAGAATTTTATTTTCATTTTTAACAGGCAGTGTACTAATTAATGATGTCATAAAACACTTGATAAAACCTATAGTATAAATCTCTTTGCGACTTCGTATATGTAGGACTTAACTACAGTTATCATATAACTTCGCTGATCTGTAAAGGCAAGATCATGTTCTGCAAGAAAAAAAACAACAACATTAGATAACGTTCAGCTGTATTATTCAGTCAAACTACTTGGTCATTCAACCGCTGTATAATTTTCTAAGAACTAATGAACCGAAATAAATATAATCACTCATGCCATGATCAATATCATCATCGTAAATCGTTATCATCAAATTCATTAAATATATAGCCGTTAGAAAAATTGATGATAACAAAAATGATGTCAGTCCGTATTTATATCTCTTATTTTAAATTTAGCACAACAAGGTTAAATATCCCCACTTGGAGAAGGTGATAAAGCCTGACAGAGGTGAACAACTCGGATCGGTGACGAGGAACAACTCCTAGTTAAGTAAGGGCTTCTTCTTGTAACAACAACAACAACAACATAAGCTTTATTTGCATGACTATAATTATCTAGTTACAGTATTGCAAAAGCTTTAACATAAAGTTACAACTTATAACAATGGTAATGCAATGCAATGATTACTACAGTCAATCAAGTGTCATCAGCATGATTTGATAACAAATTAGCACGTAAATCATTATATAATGAGACAAATTTCAACAAATGTGAATTTACGGAAAAATTCTGTGAATTCATAAATTTAATTATTAATTCTGTCTAAGATAGGTGATTAAAGTCGTCAAAATTTTGTTGGATTTGATTGTAGAATTTCTCCCTTGGGATTGAATATTTTGGACAATGGAAGAGAAAATGAAATTCGTCTTCAATTATACCAGAGTTACAAATAGGGCAGAATCTATCGTTGCGGGAATTTTGATTATATCTTCCAGTTTCAATCATGAGTTTGTGGTTCCTTATAAGAATGTTCACTAAGTCTTTCCTATTGGTTGAATTTCTAATTAAGTCTAGATAACTTGAAATTTTATAATAATATTCAAATAAGCTGTAAAATTAAGTTATATAACAGTTATGCGGCCCGATAGGTATGATGGGTGGTCCTCTTTCGGTCCCAAATTGGATATGGATCTTATCTTCTTGGGTGTGAAATAGGATAAGTATTTGTCCTTTTTGGAAGCAGGGCCTGGAATTTAGGATAGTTTTTGGTCTGAACTAGTAGGGTGGGGGAAGTCAAATTTTTTATTTTTTATTTTTGTCAAGTAAGTTGACGATTCCGGAAAGCACACCTCGCGTCCCCACCCGAATTTTTCACGAATATCCCCTTCACCGGGTTTCCACGAGTCTGGCGCGCTGACTACACGCTGCTTTCCATATAATTGTTTTCCCACCTTTGTTTAGCGATCATGGATTGATGTATCACTTGCATGGTCCTTCGTTGCATGCCATGGACTCCTGTCGTATTCCGACACAGTCCTTTCCCTTCCACTGACGAGGAGGGTTAGTACAGGTTCGTGTTCGTACTTTGACGCCACTGCCACAAGTCACACTGCAGGCGGAGAAAGGGGTCCATTTGGAGAAGCCGCCATCAACAGCTGTGAAAAAAGATCGTGATCAAAAGTGTGTCACTAAGAATCATGATCCTATTAAACCTGGACGACCGTACACAGGGGCGGACGAAGGATTTTGTGATAGAGGGAGCCTAGAGATATAGTATACAATGGCAATATAGACGTGATAGGGCCCGTGAGGACTGCGAACGGCGCACACTAGGGAGTTTCGGGCGCATGCTCCTCTGGGAAAATGTTTTGAGATTGAAGTTCTCTTTGATGCAATCAAGAGAGAATAATCTTTCTCTCTTGATTCTCTCTTGATGCAATCTAGAGCATTCTGGACGCTTAAATTTAGCAAATGCCTGGATTCCATATTGAACATGTTAATGCTGAAATATTTAATAAACCACGGGTGTGGTTGTGGTAAAAGAAGTAAAATACTTTATGATGCTAGCAGAAGCCGAAGCGATTGCGGCGAGAGCACATCCTCCCGGCAAAGGCAGCGACATAGTCTCCCTGAAAATTGTCGAATCCAGTCTGTTTGAGACGGATATTTACTGCATGCATTCTGGGAGCTTTGGTCATTTGCGGCTAAAAATGTAGGCTTCGAACACAGATTTTTTTCTTATTAACAATGTTAATTGAAGAAAATATATAATAAGTAACAAAGCTTGAAGTACCATCCAACACGCGTTTACAAAGAAAAGAGATTTCCGGACAAAAGTGGGGGCGCCGGGGCCCCCTGGGCCCACCCCTAAATTCGCCTTTGGTACAGAGAAACGTTTCTGACTTCACCGTCGTTTTGAGATTTTATCATGTCCACCGATTTCAATCTAATCTATTTCAAGCGAGTTTTTTTAAATTCTAAGTTTAATTTTCTCGAGAAATATTTACCGGCAATACCTCTGTTAGCTTTCTTGTAGCTGGTTCATATTTCGCCTTTTTCTCTAGATAATATATTAAGGGCACGTTTCCATTACGGACTGTTCTCTTGGTCCCACTGCAGGGACACCTCCCAAATGTGGACACGTGGTCCAATGAAATACAGTCAAACCCCGCTTTACTAGTACGGACACCTCATTATTTAGGACTGTTTGGTTTGTCCCTGGTGAAACTAAGGCCCTTACAGACACCCAGTTAATACGGACATTTTTTTAAGGCCCCCTCAGTCATGTCCGTATAAAAGGGGTTTGACTGTAGTTCCCTTTTCTCACGTATTGTTATACCATTGCAGTAGCAGACCTCAGGAAACAAACCATGATAACATTAGAGAGTGAAGGGGAGACTAATTTGAGGTTGTACGTAAAGGACAATAGTAAAGAAAATAGTGGTGAAAAGGAAATTTCTACGTATAGCCATTTTTCTTAGTATGGTACTTTAGCCCGCCCTCAGTTAAATTGACAAATTTATTATCACTTACGCTGACAGATGACTTTCGCCAAGTCATCGAACAAGTCATTTAGCTCTGTATAATTTGACACATGGTAGGCGTGGTCATTAACAACGCCTCTTAATCCCCTCTGAAGTTTCGACTTTGGACCCGTTGCGGTTACTACCAACTGTGCACCTTTTCCCTAAAATGCAAAAATATTTACCTTAAATAATAAAACATCCTAAAAGACAGAACATTTTACAAGCAGTCAAATTATGTACATATTAAATCATGACTTGCAGATTGCACTATAATGCGTGAAAAGTCTTCTAAAAACGTGGAATTTGAAACTCAAAGAGGAGCTGAAGATGAATTCGCTTTTTTTTCTACGTCTATTTTAAAAGAAAAATCAACGATAAAAAAGTAACACGACGTTTCGATGACTCCATGTCATCATTATCAAATGCGAAGAAGATTAGCATGAATTGGTGATATAAATACAGAAAAAGAAAGTGTCAGGAACATGTAAAATTAAATTGAGGCATGAAAATGGAACAAACTAAAACATAAATAAAAAGTTTCGCCCGGATGGAGTCCGCTTGAGTGTGTAATGTAGGTCTTTTGTTTCTGATAATAAACATTTCGAAGATCAAACACTCAAGCTTCCCACGGCATTTCTTGAGGACCTTAAAGTTTGTGTTAAGATTCATCTGTTTTAAGCTGTGTTTTTCCAACTGCCGAAAAAAATATAAGTATTTGATCTAAAAAAACAACGACGAAAAGGTATTCTGTATGCTGGGAAGTTTAAACACTATTTGATGCTTCGTTCCATTAGATCCCATAAATGTTCAACATTTTCCTTAGCGATAAAATATGTTCATCTTAATGAAAAAGGAGCGTGAACTGCTTCTTTTTGAAGCCGGCAGTTTCCATATCACGGATTTCCCGGATACGATCGTCACCATCGCTGAGTATGCACGACGCCATCGTTTAC